TTCAAAACCGAAGGCTAATCGTATAAGTACAAATTGGTTTGTTCTTGACTAGTGATTCCATGACACTAATCAGCCACCATCAGCGTTCAAGTCACGCCAGCACTTACTTGGCCATACACGGGAAAGAGCTGCTAACTCTGGCGTTGATGAGCATCGTCAATAGGCTTACGTCAGTCAGTGGAAGGAAATTATTGTGACGAGAGGCATAAAATCCGAACTTGGTGATGCGTGTGTTTGCAGAATTGTCATTCCCCCTTCATGACTAATTACGCAGCCAATGTAATCCATTTAAATAGCATAGCTTTTTTGAAGGATCTCGTGCATTTGCGATTGGAGACATCGACCATTGTGGTTCCTATCAATCTCTAGTGTTCCCTGTAAACATATATTTCTGTGTTTGAAAGAGTATTCTACTTAGATTTGTAGTTTCGAAAGTTTTGGCTTGAGCTGAGCACTTTCCTCTGCTCAAATTGGGGTTTTGTTTTTAACAGCCCTTTTTTTACGTTTTTAGTCCTATGTGCGTCTCATGGGTAGGGTAGTAGGGCGCGGAGAGTTCTATATGATAGTCTCGCTTTTGACGATCATGCGCCGTTTCATCGACCTCTCGCCCGCCTTCGTGGAGACTTTCAAGGTAATAGTTCGATCTTCATTCGTCATTTTCATAGTGTCTTGCCTTCAATCACTTTACTCCTCGTTAGGTCGTCAGTTCGTTGTCTCAGCCAATGACTGACCTTGTAAACCGCTTCCGGACACAGATTAAAGCCACCTTAGACGCCTTCTTACAGCAACTTCAGCCTGGAACGGGATCCTCCCAGGTCCCTCCTGATGCCACAGTTCACGAGCTGGCCTCTAACGTAAGTTTTTATAAGGGAGTAGGAAAGAGTTTATGCTTCAGTTCCATTTATTCCTCTTCCTTCAAGGTGCTGTTGTTCTTGGAGAAGCTGATCGATTATGAGATTATGGTTGGAATGGCGTTGACGTGGGAGGAGGCCAGAGTCACACCAGAGGCTACCTTTCCCTACCTTGTCACGGTCAATTCAAAGCCCAAAATGGCTCGGTCAGCGTTTGGACAGTACATATGTAAATTACACTGAAGTGTCAACTTTTTATTTGTGCGTCAAGAGCAAAACAGTGAATTCATGTTTGTGGGCTGCATCTTTCTTGTCATACCGAATCTGCTACTTTCAAAACGTTCAGGATTACTTTTAACTCGTTTTGATCATGTATTTGTGGCCTCTTTTTAAGCCAGTTCTAGAAGACTGGAGATTGATGTTTGAACCTAGTCATTGCTGCTTGAGCAGTAGTTTTTTTCTTCTAATAATGCGATTTTTTTCCCTTTAAGTTCGTATCATCACTTCACTAGTCGCTAATATTGACAAGAAATCTGAGGTCTACTCGGACGATCTTTCTCGTATAGTCTTCCAGATGAACAATTTGCGCTATATTCTTACTGACCTTAAGAGGTATCCCCTTTTTACTTCTTACTACTTCCTTCCCCTTTATTATTAGCTTGATTGCAGATGTTCTCTCCCTTGATAGGACTGGCTTGCAAAGTATCCTCAATGAATACGACAGTAGTGCGGTGGATAAGTTCACACGAATCCTGAATGAAAGTAAACAGGTCTATACAAGAGCGTAAGTTTTCCACCTCAACTCCAACTTGTTCTGCATTCAAGGGCTTGAATCTGCAAATGTGAACACTATGCCTATGATTATGAGAATCTGTCACAAGTGGCTGAATCGCCTTAGGTGTATTGCGAACGGTATAAAATGGGCAATAGCGCAAGAAGAGTCAGAAGTTGACCTTCCTTCTCCGTCCTTGCAGCCTTTCAGATGCAGTATGCCTCACAGTACCGACTAAAGAGGGCAGCAACGGCACCGGTGGTGGTGGTTTGCGCCGTTTTTTGGTGGGAGGGCACTTTGCTAAGCCGCGGGTCTCCCTTCTCTCTAACTCTTGCCTTAATGACGAAGTCATGGGATCACAGGCCTCTCTTACGACCTTGCCCTCGACCAAGGTGTGCATGCGGCATGTGTCTAGGCCCGCGTCATTTTTTGAATATTAGATCAATGGATAAGAAATGTTT